ATGTGATTATTATTATATTCAAGATCCTAAATGGGCATGAATAATTTATGTCTTGATCATTGCATCGTATGATTTATGTTTTGATCTTTATGAATGAAGTTTACATCTTCTCATTGTATCTGTTGAAAAACAGTCACAAAAGCACCTAATGGGCACTTCGATGAACTTCTGCTTCTCCGAATCAAAACGTACTGTCACTACTGTCCTATCATATATATATATATATATAGAAGCAAGCCAATGTGGAGCTTCATTTACTGAGATTCCATGCTGATTAGTATTTTTTATCCCTACGCTGACCACCTTATAATCTTTAATAATAGAATCATAAAAAATGCCCCAGAGATCATCGGAGAAGCTATTGCACGAAGCATAGGGGTGCTTTGCAAATTCGCATAGAGTGTTTGAAAAATAGCAATCTAAAGTGGAGTAATATTCAGGAAACGAGAGAAAAAGTAAGCTAGTATCAGAATTACAGTTTGAAGTCCCAGGTGATACAAATGACAAATAAAATAATCACATTGCTAATGATGCTCCAAATCTCTGTACCATGTTTGTTTAATTGTTTGTAACTATGTATTAAGACAGAATTCTACTAAGAGTGATCTTCATGCTCCAAGACCCGTGGAAGACATAATGTGTGCAGCCCGTGGAAGTGGAAGAAATAAGCAATCCGTGATACTAAGACAGAGTCCCACTAGGAGAGACACTCTTGCTCCAAGTCCCGTGGTAAACTCTGTTGGGGAACCTGTGGAAGAAACAAACACTGCAACCCGTGTAGATAAACTTTGAAGTTTCCTAACTATATTCAATCACGTAACCCACAACTGTATGTGTATATAAAAGGGTGTATTAATTCTAGTAAAAAGCAATGCAAGAGATATATTATTCCAGCGCATCTCCTCCCGTTTTTATACTATGGAAAACTTAAAAGCTGAACCAGAATGTACAAGAATGGAGCATTGCTTGTAATTACAACAAATTCTCCTCCTGCTATCCACATTTAATAAAGTAAAAAACACAAATTTCCTTCCTGAATATGTCGAAAGACTGGATAATAAAAATATTACAACACAAAAAAGATTAAAATATCCTGATTCTATTTGGAGATTTGAAATCGATGCCTTTACTACATGAATGTATAGCAAAATACAGAGGAATGCACAAAATCCAGTCAAGAAAAAGGAATTAAGATTTCAGAAACCAGCAGCAAGAATAAAAAGGATACATCACAGAAGAATGCACAAAAATAGAATTAAATAAACCTCGAAAAGGAACACAGAAAGAAGTAAAAGAAATGTTATTTTTAACCTCGAAAAGACATCTTAATTATTTTAATTCTTCCACTATGAAATTACTATTATTAATTTAAAAAAAAAAATGAAACAATTTGGAAAGTGGCTACCCATCCATCAGTGGCTAAATATATCTAAACATCAATGGTAACGATTAAAATTTAGTTTATTGAATTTATTTTGGTTTTATTTCAAATTGGAAAAACAAATAAATTATAATTAACTAAAAAAAGGAAACCCATAGATTAAATTTACCCTGTGTTTATGTTGATTATATATTTGGATGTTAGTCCAAAATAGATTAAAATTTAAAAAAAAAAAAAAAAACTGATTTTGAACTCGAATTTTATTTTTTGTGTAGAATTGTGACTGAAAATGATCAAAAAAATGAAGATGGAGAAAGCTAAATATTTGGAAAGTACTTGTTCTGGTGAATGAATTGTCAGCTTGGTGCTATTTTGAGTTTTATCTTTTGTTTTTCCTATTCAAAGTTCCTATTTCCGCCACCCAAATGGAGGAGATAAAATCCATTGTCCTTTTTGTTTGCTTTCTTTTCTGCTGAGATATATCTAAAAGTTAGCCTTTTCTGCTTGTCCTTCTGAGATATATCTTTCTTTCTGTCTCAGTTTCACTCTTGATCATGTTTTCATTTTTTAGAATTTTTCTTATTTATATTTTATAGACAAAATAACATACAATTTGTCTCATTCATCACTGTGATTCTTGGCTGGCACTGTGCTCCACTACACCCCTGCACCACTCTGCACACACACACATTAACGGGACCAATTTTTTTATTTTTTTATCACAGAAGGCAAAGACCCAGTACTTGGTTTTTGGCTCTAGCAACAAGCAATTCAGGACCAATGAATTGATCCTAGGGTGGGGAAATGAGCAATGCCTATAAACACGGTTGAAACGGGAAAAAGTGAGGGAGAAAACAAGAGGATTGGAGGGAAAGTCTGGGCAGAAGGAGGATTTAGGAGGAAAATTCGAGAAAACATAGAAATTGAGCAGAAGGATTTCGAAAAGAATCAGAGGAGGGAACTGTGAGCAATTCTGAGAATTGAGAAGTTCTGGGCTTTACAGGTTTGAATTTCTGGGTTTCTTTTCTAGGTTCTTACAGAAGAAGTTCTGGGTTTCAAAGGTTCTAAGTTTCTGGGTTTGGACGAAGAACAGCAGGGAGAGGGTAAGCAGAAGGCAACTCCCTGTGTAGAAGGCAACTATTTTTTTTTATTCTGTGTTTAACTAATTATTCATTGTGTTTTCTATAATTTTTTTTAACTAAAAAAACATAATTTATTCTTTTATATTTGAATTTTTAACTAAAAACTTAAGAGAAAATTCAAAAATTCATGAATTCTTAATTAAAAATTTTCTTATAATTTTTTTTAAAAAAAATATGAGACAAATTATCCAAAAAAAAAACACTTTCTATATATATATATATCATTTAAAAATTCAAATAATTCATTATATAAATTATATAAAAAAATTTAAGAGCAAATAATCATATTCTAAAAATTCATTATATATATTTAACCATGTTATATCATTTAAAAATTAAAAGAATTTATCATATAATTAAACTATATCAATTTTTTAAAAGCAAATAACAATATTTTAAAAATTTATTAAAAAATTCATACATAAATCTCTTCTTTTCTTCTTCTTCTCTCTTTATTTCTCTCTTCACTTAGCTATTAGAAACTAAATTTCAATACAAATAAAGTTATAGATTGAAATAAAAAATTATTGAAAAAAAAAGAGACGAAAGAATAACTAAAGCAAAACTTTATATATAAAATGTTCGAAAAAAACCTCAAAATTACTATAAAAAAAACATTAAAAAGTCTATAAATAGTATTATGAATGAAATAAATGATTAAAAATATACTTAAAATAACGAAAATATCATTTTCATAAATTATAAAAATACCATCAAGTAAATAACATTAAGTGAGCATAGAATAATTTTTTTTAGTGGATATAAGGTTTTTTTTTTCCAAACAAGATACACTTTCAGTATCTACAAGATCTATTGAAATGAATTTAATATATGATTTATTTTTAAAATAATACAAAATTAATTCTATTCAAATAATTTTAGCCAGTAGCCAAGGTCCTCGATTTTCACGCGTCACTGTTGCCCTTGCGTTTACTAAGAATTCAAAGATCGTGATATGCATAAGTCGTGCTTTTTGTCAAGGATGGCAGGAAAGCTTTAGCCCAATCTCTACAGTAATTGCCGTTCTGCATAAGTCATGCAAGATTTCTTTCTTATCTTGTCAAATCATAGGGAAAACACTACGACAAACGCGGTTTAACAAACCTATAAATTCATCAAGTCTTGGTCTCTGCGTAAGTCATGCAAGCTTTCTCTGTACTCTTGTGTTTCCAAAAGAATCAGAAAAATTTGATCTATATCTTGCGATGACAATGCATAGAATATAAAATAAATATATATATATTATCTAGCTAAATATATATTTATTAAAAATATTTAATTGATATTAAAGTAAATAAAAAAATATATATATATATATATATATATATATATATATATATATATATATATAAATACTCATTTTTTATCTTATTAATACTCATTAATTTATTTAGATTTTTTTATGGACATATAAAAATCTAATTATATAAAATTTAAAAATTAAGTATAAAAATATTTTTTTCAAAAAATTTTAAAGACCAAAAAAACTTATAAATAAATAATCAAAATGAAAAAAAAATTAACTTTTTAAAGATAAAAAAAGTTTTTTGGAAGTTATAAAGATTAAAATGAATATTTTTGACAAATTAAATTTAATATGTTTTAAATGGATAAATAAACTAATATAAATCAGGTATAAACTAGATAAATATCGTGATATGCATAAGTCGTGCTTTCTGTCAAGGATAGTAGGGAACATGGAAAATTTCAGCCCAATCTCTACCTTAATTGCCGGTCTGCATAAGTCCTGCAAGATTTCTTTCCTAGTCTTGCCAATTTATAGGGAAAACACTATGAAAAATGCGGTTTAACAAGCCATCAAGTCTTGGTCTCTGCATAAGTCAAGCAAGATATATTTCTAGTCTTTAGCTAGTGCCATTTGTTTCTCCAGTGGAGAAATGAGAGATCCTAATCAATATTTACTGATTTTCATCATTTTCTTATTACTTATTTTGTACCCAACGATAATTCTTGCTTCACCAGAAGCAAGCTAATACTTACTACCAATGCCTTAATCACTAGAGATCTGCTTTGGCTCTACTGCAGCAAAACCCTATGATTATAGACGATTATATTATAAATTTGAAATGTTTTTTTAACATCCTTAGATTTAAAAAAAAATTATTTAACATAAATGTTATATAATCAGAATTAGATAATTTAACTGCTTATATATATATATATATGAAATGATTCTAGCCATGTTTTAAAATTTAAAATGTTAGGATATCGTGTTAGAAATAATTTGAAAGAAGTTTAATCCCGAATTACTCATTGGTGACTCCTAGTCAAAGTCTTCTCAAATTATAGCTAGGGAAAACACTATGACAAACGCGGTGTAACAAGTCTATAAATTCATCAACTCTTGGTCTCTGCATAAGCCATGCAAGCTTTCTTTCTACTCTTGTGATTCCAAAATATTGCACGTAACAAACACCATAGTAAGCACTTAGTGGTTTAGTAGAATTACTTGAGAGATGATGAGGAAAATGTGGGTTTGGATTTTGGTGACAATATCATTGGTTTGGGTTAATGATTGGTATGGTGGCTGTTATGGGTGTTTGGAGGAAGAGAGAATTAGTCTTTTGGAGATCAAAGCTTCATTCGATCCATTTTGCATGGATTCTGGAGTATTGAGAGACTGGGTGGACAATAAAGAGAAATTTGGTAACTGCTGTGAGTGGCCTGGTATCCAGTGTGATGAATCCACAAAACGAGTGACCCAAATCTCTTTTACGGATCCGAATCCATATGAACCTTACTGTTCCCGCGGATGGATTCTCAATGCATCTTTGTTTCTGCCTTTCCAAGAATTACAAACTCTTGATTTAAGAAGAACTGGATTAGTTGATTGCTTTAAGAATGAAGGTTTTTTGTCTATGTTTTTTATATTAAATAAATGTATTTTTTTAATGAACTTACATTTATATATTTTTTACACTAAATTAGTTCAATCTTTTGCATTTTAGGCTTTGAAGTCCTATCATCAACACTGAAGAAATTGGAAGTCCTTGACTTAAGTGATAATCTATTTTACAACAGGCCTCTTTCATTGAATGGGCTTTCATCTCTCAAGTCTTTAGATCTATCAACTAATGGGTTGACGGAATCAGGTAGTGTCTTAAATTACATTTGTTTATTTTTTTTATCTAATTAATGACTTTTACATCATTTACTTTTACTATCTAATTCTTAAATTATGGTTGTTTGTTTATTAAAAAAAATATACTTAACTCTTCTCTATATCATAATGAATATTGTGGCTTTCAAGCATCATTTTATAGATATATTAGTAATTATTGTTAAAATTTTAAAAGTAATTTCATCTTAACGTTTTCACTAAAACAATTAAAGAGTCAAATATCATAAGAAATTGCTTAATTTACTCAAACTTAGAGGCAGTTGATTTTTACTATTTATTGTGCATATGGTGAGTCATGACTTACATGCAGCAATAACTCTCTTGCAGGTTTTGAGGTTATGTCATCAAATTTGAGGAAACTAGAACACCTTGACCTCAGTTATAATGAATTCAACGACAGGATTTTATCATGTCTGAGTAGATTTTCGTCTTTGAAGTCCTTAAATCTATCAGGCAATTATTTGTTGTCAGGGTCAACGGATATAAGTGGTAAAGTTGTTAATCTATCTCACGAAAACTAGGAAATTTTAAAACACTGTTATCAAGTTACTCAAGAAACATAACTCCTTTTTCTTTTTCCACTATATATAATCCCGATAAACTCTAATAGACTGACTATATTGTTGCAATTTTTCCACATATCACAGGTTTGAGGAAGTTAGAAGTCCTTTATTTAGAGGAGATCTATTTCCAGGAAGGCATTTTGCTTCAGTCGTTACGGACATTGCGTTCTCTTAAGATGCTCTCTCTTCGAAATAATCATTTACATGGAATAATGATTGGTTCAGGTTAGTTACAGTTATGATTCTAAAACATGCTTGTTCTGTAATATTTTTGTTTTAATCATAGGATTTGTCTTCTCTTTTTTACAGGGTTTTATAATTTGACCAACCTCGAACACTTAATCCTTGATCATAACTCTTTGCCAAAAAACTTTCTTCGAAATATCAAAGAATTGTCTGCACTTAGAGTTTTGGCATTGCGTGAATGTGATCTGGATGGCTCCCTACCTACTGAAGGTAAATTAAGAAACCCCTGTCTGCAATTACTTCAATAATTAAAATATGTTTCCATTAGTACATATTTTGACATAATTTGAGATAAATTGTACAGGTTGGTGTGAGCTGAGGAATCTGGAGCAGCTAGATCTTTCTAATAACAGTCTAGGAGGTTCACTACCATCTTGTTTAGGGAACTTGTCATCTCTACAACTATTAGATGTCTCTCAGAACCAATTCAATGGAAATATTGCCTCTGGTCCTCTTACCAACCTCATATCCCTTGAATTCCTCTCACTATCAAATAACCAATTTGAAGTCCCAGTTTCATTCAGGTCCTTTATGAACCACTCAAGCCTCAAGTTCTTCTTATGCAGCAACAACAAACTAAAAGATGAACCAGCTACCTTTCATAATTTGATTCCAAAGTTCCAACTATTATATTTCAGCTTGTCAAATAGTACATCGAAACCACTTCATTCAGAAATTCCCAACTTCTTTTATAACCAATTTGACTTGAGATTCCTTGATCTCTCCCGCAACAACTTCGGTGGAATGTTCCCTTCGTGGTTGCTTAAGAACAATACAAGATTACAAGAACTATACCTGAGGGAGAACTCTTTTTTTGGTCCTTTGCAATTGCAAAACCACCATCCAAATACCAGTATGGCCATAATAGATATATCGGACAACAACATGCATGGTCAAATTCCTAGAGATATGTGTCTGGTCTTTCCAAAACTGTACATCTTAAAGATTGCTAAGAATGGACTAACAGGTGGTATTCCTTCTTGTTTTGGAAATTTGAGCTCGCTGGCACATTTAGATTTATCAGACAATCAATTGTCTACAGCAAAACTAGAGAAGTTGAAGACAATAGATTTTGTCAAGCTGTCAAACAACAATTTGGGTGGGCATTTATCTCCATTAGTTTTCAACTCTTCTACAATGACAAATCTCTTCTCTTCTACAATGACACATCTCTTCCTAGATGGTAACAACTTTTGGGGCCGACTATTAGATTTTTTCCCAACTTTCTTACGATTCTATGTAGTGGATTTGAGTAACAATCAATTTTCAGGCATGCTTCCAAAGTATCTTGGCAATTTGTCATATCTTGAAGCAATTGATTTGTCCAAAAATCATTTTGAAGGTCCAATTCCAGGAGGGTTCTGCAATCTTGACAATCTTGAATATTTGGACCTCTCTGAGAACAATTTGTTTGGTTCTATACCATCTTGCTTCAACCCACCGAAGATAATTCATGTCCATCTGTCCAATAATCGGTTGAGCGGTCCATTAACATATGCATCTTTTAATAGCTCTTCCTTGGTGACATTGGATCTGGGTTATAACAACATCACCTGCTCCATTCCAAATTGGATTGGCAATCTTACGTCATTGAGTGTTCTTCTTCTGAAAGCAAATCATTTTGATGGTGAGTTTTCTACTCAGTTATGCTTATTGGAAAATTTAAGCATTTTGGATGTTTCACAAAATAAGCTCTTTGGTCCTCTACCCTCATGTTTGGACAACTTTACTCTCAAGGCAAGCCCTAAGAAAGTGTATGGGGGTGGTAAGACGTCCTATGATTACACATTGCTAAGGTATATGTATGAGACAATGGGTCCACCACTAGTCGAGAGTATCAATGACCTAGATAATGGTTATTCAGCCTTCACTATGGAAGAAGCAATAGAATTTACGACTAAAACAAGGTCGTATAGTTACAAGGGCAAAATTCTGACCTTCATGTCCGGTTTTGATCTCTCCAACAATAGATTCTCAGGCGAAATCCCATTAGAAATGGGAAACTTAAGTGAGATACGTGCATTAAACTTATCGCACAATAATCTCACAGGATCTATCCCTGCAACATTCTCAAACTTGAAGCTGATAGAGAGCTTAGATCTTTCTTACAACAACTTGAATGGCAGAATCCCTCTACAGCTTCTTGAAATGACCAGCCTAGAATTTTTCAGTGTGGCACATAATAACTTGTCAGGCAAAACTTTAGAGATGAAATATCAATTTGGGACCTTCGATGAGAGCAGTTATGAAGGGAATCCTTTTTTGTGTGGACCTCCGTTGCAAAATAATTGTTGTGAAGATCAATCACCATCCCAGCCAAGGCCTAATGAGGAACAAGAAGATGACGGTTTCATAGACATGGATGATTTCTATGTGAGTTTCGGGATAGGTTACACAACTGTGGTGTTGACAATTGCAATAGTTCTCTACATCAATCCTTGCTGGCGTCGCAGGTGGTTTCACTTCGTTGAAGAGTTCATAAACACTTGCTGTCGAACTTCAAAAGGACCTAGGCTCTAAGAATGGGAGGGTGTGATGCTTAATAAATTTGTTGGTTAGGTTATAAAACTTGAGGCAACCCCAGCTCCTTTGCCCTCTCCTCTGTATCTTCTAACTTCATGAAGATATGTTCTTAGTCCTCTACGTACTCTATATCTTCTAACTTCATGAATATATGTTCTTATGCAGTGGGAATGAGAAGGCATTTTCGTTCCATTACTTAATTTGTGCATTGAAGAAACAATATATATATGTGCAAGTCAAAAAATACAAAACCAGATAGCTTATGACACTTTGGATACGATAATTATCAGCACTCTGCAATCACATTTGCAATATTTTAAAACTGTTTAAGAAAGCCTCCCCGTGTTTTTGACATATGTAAGCAGAATAACCACAATAAACTTGAGCACAAGCAATCGAACAATTCTTTTTTATAAGTAATTAAGTCTAATTGTCAAGGTTGATGTGTTCTAACTAGTTAAAGTTCATGCTGACATCTATTCACGTTAACTTTAGTTAGTTTAACTTATGTTAAGTTAATGTAACTAGAGTTAGCTTAAGTGGTGATCAAAGTGAACAAGTGTACGGATAAAATATGGTAACTTTTTTAGTATGAATAGGACTAAATGTTCTAGAATTGTAAGAGAAAAAAGAAAGAAAGCCTCCCTAGTTTCTAGCTGATTCCGTAGAAAATTGCAGACCTATGTTGTGTTGATGAGAGTGAGTTTTCATCTCTTTAATGACTTGTTAGTGGCCCATTGTGTTCTCTCCAATAGAACCCCTTTTAACACTTCATTTCATCCTCTATGCACCAAACCCATTTGCACTGTTGTCTCTTTGCGTTCATGCACTTGTCTTGTCGGTAACTTCTGTCTTCGAGTCATTCTTGGCCCTTTTCAGATCGAAAGGTAGCAGGCAATTCGATCGAAAGAAGAAATAAAAAAGAGATGGGTTTGTGTTGCTGGACCTTACCTTAGCCAGAAAAGAAAAACATGCGGGTTGAGCCAAGTCTTAACCCGAGTGGAACGAAGGCTGGACTGCAATCAGTCCAGCCCAGCCCTTTCCTTCCAAAATAAAAATGAAAGGGGCTGGACAGATTTCAGTCCAGCCCAGGATCCTCTCCCCTTTAAAGGGAAAAAAAAACAAAAGAAACATAAAGAAGAGAGGCTGGTCCAGCCTGTTCCGAAGAAAGAAAAATAGTTTTAAAAAATTACTAATAGGGAAGAAGAAAATAATATAAAATAATATAAAAAAAATAAAATGTTTAACTGTAATTTAAAATAGTCTCTCTCTCTCTCAAATGTTGAATTCCACTCCTGAAACACATTTTTTCTCCGTGAACAATCACAGTTTCGTTCTGTTTTTTTTCCCAGGAAAAAGAAGGAAGAAAAAGGAATTGAATATTTCCTCTGTAAGTTCCTGTCTTTCTCTGCTTTGCATGTAATAATCATAAGAACCCTGTTTTTGCTTGGTTTCAAGTTTAGTGATTTGTTTCTTGAAAGTGAATTTCAACTTGTAATGCTGTTTGTTGCGTCTTTGCTTAAAAGATAGTAAAAGGCTACTATGTCTCAAGGTTGATTGATACGGTGCAGAGGTTTCGGGCACATTTTCAGGTCAATTACCGGAACATGGTAAACCTGCTAAAATTGATCTAAAAGTTGAGAAAGTGCTTCTAAATTACCGGAATTTCACTGCTGTTTCGATGATCTAGAACCTTGCTAATCGTTTAAATCGAGCAATCAAATTGCTTTGCAATTGGAAGACTACTAGCCAATTTGCGTTGAAATTTTCAATTACGAAACTAATTTGAGTTCCTGCAAACAAATATAAGAAATACAACGGGAAATGCATGGCAAAAACCCCAAGAAACAAACTTAGAAGAACAAGGACAGCAACAACTAGAAGAAGCTTCGAAGTTCACTTGCGAAATCTGCATCGAACCGATGCTATCAAGCCAGAAAATTCAACAACAATAACTTGTGTACTCATCCTTTCTGCTCAGACTGCACCGCAAAGTACATTGAAGTAAAAGTCGAGGACATGATCACTGGGTGCATTGAATGCCCTGGACTGAGCTGTACACATCAATTAGACCCTCTCTCCTGCAGGCCATTCATCTCAAAACCAATGTTTGACAAATGGTGCAATCGTCTATGTGATTGGACAGTTTTAGAGTGTGAAAGTTGCTATTGCCCATACCAAGATTGCTC